ACCTGGAAATGTACACACCGACGGAAGCAGCCGGTTTGATGAAAAAAAAAATATATATACTTTATTATTTTTTGAAAAGTCAAAACGTTCGACGTGTTCCGTTGACCCCCACTCTATACAAGGCTTGATTAAACATTCATCAAACCGCACCATAAAGCAGACATTCCGATCAATCGCTGGAAATTGCCGAATACTCGTCGACTATGACATAAATGTAAACATGGTTGTTGGACGAGTATCGGAGTAATTACGCGATGCACAGTAGCTAGATACTTTGTAATGTCAGAAAATCTGAAGGATCATTGAATGATGGACTATACATATATATGTATATTAAAAGATCGCATGTGTGTAAACTTGATTAGTGTTTAATAAAATAGTTGTAACTAACCAAATGATTGCAATTAATGTAAAACAAGATAAAGCATTGTTTTCTATTAATTATTTTTAATTTGTTTTACGTTATTGGAAATTTGATTCAAAACTTACTATATTTAATTTAACTTACTTTATTAAAAATTCAGAGATGTTATCTCTATATATCTCTATATATCGCTTATACTTTAAATATGATACAGCTTAAAAAATAAATTTTCCAGAAAAGGAAAAACTTATTTCTTAAATCTTATTTTGTAAATCTGTAATATCATATCATAGAATTTCACTACATCACGATTTTGATTGGGAGAAAACGTGAAAATACTAAACCGAGAACGTTTTTTAGGAAAAAAAAAAAATGTGTGGATAAACTTCCGAAAACGACCCACGCTCGATTACTATGAATGTTGGCAGAAATACAATACTTTAAATGACGTTAAATAAATGTCCGTGTAATATAAAATATTGACAAAGTACAAAAAATTTAGGCGATTAGAGAGAGAGAGTACGCATTCGACAACTCTCTTCTATCTAACTCATTTATGGTAATAACGTTTTTGAGCTGTGTCACTTTTGAAGTAAAGGAACGATATTCGCGAAGAAAGAGAAATCAATTTAAATTTCATAGAAAATCTATAGTAATGTGCAACAGTATTCTGTATTCTTCTTCGAAACATACATATTGTTATTGCGTTGTCACACACATATTGCGGTGTTATGGTGAATAGATGCTAGCCAAGAGATCATTATTTCTCAGCTCGGCGCAGAGGCGTGCGAGACCTTCTTGGGTGCATAAAAGCCGCGGGTATCGGCAGAGGCAATGCTTTGTGAACCACGAGCTCGAGTGAGCATTACGTCTAAGCAAGTGCGCGCAACATCCTTGAAAAGTAGTCCAAGTGAATAATGACTCGGAACAATGCGAACGTATGAGGGACAGCACATTGCCTTGTGTGCTCGCGACTTTGCCGGTGCATTCTTTGACGCGATGCAACGGCACTTTGCGCGACTTGTCACATTTCCTATTCAGAAGCGTACATTTTTGTTGCACGAGCGAGAAAATAATGATCACGATCACAAAGAGGCAACGTTCATCGCGAGCGTAATCATGCGTCGCGCGCGAGACAAAAAAGTGGACGCAAACGTCAGGTCACGTTCAGGTCCTGAAATATTTAGAAAGCATTTCCAAATAACGCGCGTGTCAGAGAGACAGAGCAGGCAAGAAAATCCCGCTATATTGAAATACAATTACGCCAAAAATTGTATATATCAAGATTTGGTTTCAATTCATTACGTACTTAGTTATCTGCAGCTACTATTACTAATGTAATCGTTATTTCATTCCATTCCTATAATTTGTGACAGCGCGACAGTTTTTTTTTTTTTTTTTCTGTGATGAGGTAATGCGTGATTATATATGATACATTATTTTATCAAACTTATTCCTGTACGTAACATTTCTCTAACGTCCTTTTTCCTTTTCTTTGACGTTTTTATCTTCAAATTTTTTGTTCAATCATAAATTATCGATAATTTCAATCATTTGTATTTTACAAAAGCATTTTAACTTTCCAGAGTTGACAGCAATTCCATTCAATTATAAATCTGTTTGTTGAAAATATCAAAAAATTTAATTTTCTTTACGTTACATTTGTAAATTTCTGTTATTCTTATTAAAGTATACTAGTAATTTTTTTTTACATCATTTTAGTCGAAATTAAGTATCTTTTAATTAACACAAATTAGAAATTAAAATAATTAATATAAATGGATTTTACAAACCCAACGTCGATAACTGTTACAGATTTTGAAGTTAGATCTGGAGGATTAAATAAGGATATCTATTAATTTTCTCCTCTTGTGATTGACAATTGTTCAGCAATTGGAATCGCGTGGCGGTAATTCCCCGCGAGACATCTCTACAGAATTGAGAAAACTGCGGAATCCATTGGATCACGAAGCAATCGAGTCTCACGACCAGTGCCGGATTAAAAGATTTTTGGGCCCCGAACCGCTAAAAATTTTTGGGTCCTTTATGTCCTTGGAAAAAAAATACAATCTATCAAAACATAAACATTTATAAATTTATTTAATAAAATTAACACAAAATTTTTTCGGTTTTTGTTTCCGTTTTTCGGAATCAAAAGTGTGTTTCTAATTCACGTTATCTAAAATAAGAAATAATAAGAAGGAATAATGAATATGTACTGTTAATTTCGATTAAAGTGAAAGCTTCTTTTATATACAGCATTTTCAAATCGAGCGGGTTTTTACCGACCTGGATTAGATTAATGATATTGATGATGTCACATGCTTTACTATTGGTTGACGTTACATATTGATATTACATTATCAACTAATAGTACCGAATGTGACGTCATTGATCCAAAGTTTCCAAACCAGATCGGTTTATGTTTCCGACTCTGATACAACGCACACGCTCAACTTGACTATAGACATTGGCCCATATTCTGCAGAATCCTTTTTTTATCAATAAAGGCGCTTTTAAGCATATATGGTATAGTATCTGTGTATGCTTAAAAGCGTCTTTAACAGGATTAAACAGGACTCAGAATATGGATCAATATATGTGTGTGTATAAAAGTATATCGGTTATGACTGACAAGTGACGGATATATACGCGAACCGTATAGAGCTCCAGCCAGAGTCGGGTTCTCGCAGCAATCTGAGGCATGCGCCTCCGTCACTGCTCACAACACTGACAATGAGTCGCGTTCTTCCCCTGTCTCTCGTCCCGCTATATCTATTTTCCTCGCTCGTGAAAGACTTTGCCCCATTGGTCGCTTCCGACCAATGGCTCGCGGACTCGTCTCGAACGAAATCATAAAAGTTTTAGCCTACTACAACTTCGAGATGCGAGAGATGCGATGTCTCTCTTGTGTCTCTCTTGGGAAGTTTTCGATTTTCGCCCCGTGACGTTCTCGACTTGTTTTGTTACTTCTTTTTTTAGAGCATGCGTAAAGTGATGATATCATTCCTTTACTTCAAAAATGACCCAACTAAAAAAATGTGATTTTCGAGCTGTTATCATGATTGTGAGTTAGGTATATAGTACTCTGTTAATCATTAAAAGTAAATTAACTTCACAGTCCGTCCGCGAATTAGCGTAATTTGTGTTGTCCTTTAGATTTTCAAAGACATCACAATGCCTTCCACAAGAATATACTTGAATTGTAAATAAAAAGGAGAATCTTTTACAGAGAACAAGTTAAAATTGAGATAATTTTGGTGTTCAAAGTTTGGAGAAAAAATTACTTTATGAGATTGCTTATACACTGGAACATTTACTCACCTTTCTAGAAAAACTATCAGTAATAATTATCAGCTCCAAAAATCAGAAAACTTTTCAAAGAGAGGATTTCTATCAAAATCAAATTATTCTCTTTTTGTCGTCTCTATATATTTATTGTAAGAGTCAAAACGCTATATCGCAAGTTTATCCGTCGATGAAAATTTTGAATATGATCCCTCATATATTTGAGCGTAATTAATTAACGCAGAAGTGGCATACTTCAGCATTCTGCCATACGCAATCGTATTTTCTAGATTGAAGGTAATTAAGAGCTTATTATTATATTGTAACGCGCGCGTATTAAAACACATACAAGCGTCCGCATATATTGCAGCAATTTGTTACGCTTTGTAAATTAGTTGCCAGCAAATTTATTAGTTGTTGAATTTATTAACATAATTTTCCCCAGCACGCTAACGAACCTTCTCGCGTTTCGATCCACACGTGATTTTCTTGTAAACATAGCCCTCAGTTGCACCTCACGCCTCATGTTTTTCAAACACGTTGTTCACACTTACTGGATTCTTTAACCGATGTTTGCATATTCAAGTAGCGTGAAACAAAATGGAGATTAAACCTCAAGTAAACTCGTAAAGTGTGCAGAAGAAGAAAAGTGACTTAAGTAGTGATTTAAATTCGTAATATAAATTGAGACTGAAATTAAGATTTAGAAATTTTTTCAAATTACGTTTCGACTATAAAATCGAATATAAAATCTTATTTTAAAAAAAAGTTTGGTAATAATAATCCTAACCTAGATTATGGTTGTTAAACTTTGCTTTGATCAAATAACATTAATCAAATATTTGGTTAATATAACAAAAAATAGCGTTTAATTCAATTCCAACTGAATACTTTTATTATTAATTTTACTTTTCTAATATTTTGTAATTATTATCATACTTGATTGGTTATTATTATGTTTGTAATACTTACTAAATATTACACCAATAAGCTAAGCAAAATACATTTAATATTTTGGTAACTATCGTCAGGTGTTCTTCCAGTATAGTTGTATTTCTTCTAGTATAACAGTATTGTACACAAGAAGTGCAAAGAAATGCAATGGTGTTGTTTATAAAAATAATGTCTAATCTTGCATGCTAAAGAGTTGCGAATACAAAAGTAGTGTACGATAAAGTTTTTATTTTAAAATAAGAAATCGGCTTCGAATTGGTCAAAACATTTGGAGAAGCAAAAACGCCTCGGAACATACGTGTAAAAATTTTGAAATTTTTGCAATGTAAAACGACAAAAAGAAATTCAATGTCACAAATAACTCGTCCATTTTTGTTTCTTTTTCTTCCTGCAGAGCGTGTACAATCTGCTAGGCGAGACGCTGTCGAGGCTGCAACAGTATGCGGAAGCGGAGAGGTGGTTTCAGGCGAGTTTGGCCAGCCAGCCTGACCACGTGCCGGCCCACATCACTTACGGGAAACTTTTGGCACGGAACGTAAGTAACCATCGTTTTGCTTTTAGATCGCCATCGCCTGCCATTGCCGCTCTATTTCATCTTATAGCGATCTACTTTCCGAGTCTGACTATATCAGCTGTGACCACTTGAGAAACTTCTACCGTAACATGCAATGCGCGGATATATAAACATATTTGGGTCAATGCAAAGTCCCCGCTCCTCTCGGCTTTTATCATCTCAAAAAGTAGATTTATTTTGCGTCAAATATCAACTATATTTCGATGGTATTAACGAGCGCAACATGATTGACAAAATTTTGACAAAAAACAACATTCTTTTGTAGGAAACCAAAGGTCCTTTTTTTTTTAGAGAATTCAGCGCTGAATGTAAATCTATTTTACTGTTTCTCGCGTTAGATATTGTTTTTTCAGTGACACTCAATTTTTGCGAATTTTTGTGTATTGTATCTTTCGAAATTGTCAACAGAAATTGCAATATGTTCCTGTAGCGAAAGGAAAATTCGAAAAAAGTTATTATTTATTTACCTACTGTAATTTTAAAGAGTTTGATTTTTCTTAATGTCTACATGTGTTTTCATTATCCTTGGAGGTTTATATTCAGCGTATGTATACACATACATTCATAATTTAACACTAGAACGGCCGATGGTGTCATTTTGGCTCCGCTAACTTTTAAAATTTCATAATTCTTATAAATTTATGTATTGGTTAATAGTTTTCTCTGACTTTTTATTATTTTAGAAGTTTGATTTACAAAAAAATCCATTCCATTCATGTTCAAACGTTTTATCTTTATTTATATTTTAAACCGTTGAAACCATCAATATGCACTTACAACAAGGGAATCTCGCGGAATGTCCAATTCTGATTTTAATGAAACTTTGTATGTATACATATATAGATAAATTTAGAAAATGAGAACGAAAATATGTAATTTCACCTTTTCTCACTTTTGCCGTTAACTACATTTTCAAATTATATAACTTATGGTTATATCTGAAAAGAATTACGGCTAGCCTAGAAATTTTGCCGCGATAGCGGCTCCATTTATCGGAAAAAGTGCTAAACCAAAATGTGCATAATTACTCTGTTTTCTCCTACAAATCTTTTTCCCAAGTATTTTTCATTATCTAAAATTCTTATATTTTCCTAGTCAAATTCATGGTTAAATTGTAATCTTCGGTAATAACAGATGGGTTAAAAATATGAGCTTTGAAAATAATTATTTTTTAAAAACATTATTAACATAAATAAATAAAGGTTATTTTTTGTGATATCCTGAAAATTTAAGTTTTTGAGATATCATGAAAAGAGTTAAAAACCGCTTTACTTATAAGGGATGGTTGTTAAATGTGTTGACGCATGCGAACGGTGGAAATATGCGGTTGTTAAATTGTGAGTGAAGTAAAATTTTGCTTCTATGTAATTGCAAAATATTGAAAATATATGAATACAATTTTAAACACACAGTTATTATATGTTAATAATAACATATAATATAACATTAACCGAAAACAAGGATAGAAGCCAAATTGGCATCTTCGGCGGTTCTATCTGGTCGATTACCTAACTTCGGCTGTTCTAGTGTTAACCGATATACTATATTCAAAAATCTTGTCCAATGTAATAGAACAAGCTCCTCAACCGGTAGCAACCGCCAGGGGGAGGGGGGACAGACAGGACTATCGAGTTCGCGGTGGCTCACGCGTCGCCTCTGCTTTCTCTCTCTTTAGTCGAGCCGTGTCCTGGAAGCGGAGAGATGGTTCCTGAGGGCCCGCAGGTTGGCACCGGACGACCCCAGTGTGCACCATCATTACGGTAAGGCGCGACCAAGAGCTCCTTTAATTGCAACCGTCGTTTCCTGCGACGCAAATTCATCGACGTTCAGTGGATCTATCTCCATCTCCTTTTTCCATCGTTATTTCATCCCTCTGGCTTCTCGCCGATCATGATCCGCCTTTCAGCTCCCGATTGCATCGCAATTTAAATCTAATGCTCTGTATTTATAGTCGTCTTAGGTGATGATAAAGGAAAATCCTTATTCATCATTAAAGCAATGAGATACATTTTCTTAAACATCTCGCTTTTATACCTCCCTAAAGCACTCCTCAAGAGAATCATTTTTCCCCCACCTCATCATCTTCATCGTCACATCGATTGTCACGGTCGAGGCCTCATTCTAACAACGGTATAATTGATTTTCGAAACCCTGAATTCGTTCTGAAAAGGAATCCTCAAAATGGCCTTCAATTGCAAGGAGGAATCGGGACGGGAGAGAATCAAAGAACCAAGATTTGAAGAGTCGCTTAACAGGAGGGGGAGATAAGAGGATTCATCAAGCCGCTATAAATACCGTTGTAATATGTCCTGTAGGATAATAGTCGATCTCTGATGAGAAGGAGGGCGGATGGGTTAATCGAAAAGAAGGTTGAATACTAGAGGACATGGAGATGAGTTGAGATGCCGAGGATGAATCGACACGGGTATTAAAATTCCGGGGAAACTCTGCGACGACGCTTCGAAACGTTAAATTGCAATCCAGATACGGAAACAATCTTTTACCGCATATATTTTTCCCATTCGCTCAACAGAACGTTATTAATATAGATGATAAATAATCTATAATCGTGAATTTTTTCATTCAATTAGTTAATAATAAATACAGTGTCTGTCTAATTTCGAATCAATAGAGATTCAATAAATACAAATTAAATTTCTATCTCCTCATTTATTAAAAATGTTTGTTTTTACGAAGTTTTTTTTCAAATTAAAAATACCGTTATGCAAAAATATTCCTTTGTCATATTTGCATTCTTCGACGTCACGTTTTCTAAAGTTCTCATGCTCTAAACTAAATATTGCTCTCAAAAAAATGTTCAAAATACATATATCTTCTTCGTCAGTCAAAAAAATCAAATTTATTATTTATATATTATAAGAGAAATACAGTCAATTGCAAAATAACGAATTATTGAATAAAAGTTATAGATTTATACTTATTAAATAAATAACACTCTATAATTTACAAGATTTCTGTTCCTTAACAGCTGGAATGATGACTCTTATGTACTTTAGCTGCTGAAAAAAGAACTAAAAGAATTTTATTACTCACAAATTTCGAAAAATCAAAATTTTTTTTTAAAAACTGTTTAAAAAAATCTTTACAAATATAAATAATTTACATTTTCTTTTCCTTTACTACGCATACATACGAATCATTTAGGTGATAAGAAACAGAAATCTTATTTTTTTTATGTTAAAGATTGGCAATAAGTTATATTATTTTAATATATTACTTAAAAATTATACATAAAAGAGTCCTACCATCACATTCACTTTTATATTGTAAAAAACTATTTAAATTTTTTATAGTTATTTATCACATATATTATCGAATTTACGTTTTAGATGTATGTAGAAGAAATTCAAAACGAAGTTTCAAAAAATCAATAGGTAACGGAATTTTTTGAAAATACTTATTTTACTTATTATAATAGATGTTTCTTGTAAACGGTTCTACAAGAAACATCTATTACTTGATGAGAAAGAAAATGTCGATAAAAATGTGAAAATTGTTGTTTAATGTAATTGCCATGTCGATTAACGATCTGTCGAATGACTTGACACTCGAAATTGTAACAATATACACGACGTATAAATTGACCGAACGCGATGCGGCCTCGCGATACGTACAATGATATTTGTTTGCAAATTTTCCAGGGTTGTTCCTGACGTCGCAGGGTCGACTGGTGGAGGCTGCCGAAGAGCAGCTGCGAGCGGCCGAGCTAGTGCGGTCCGATTATGAGCTGTCGGTCGCGGCGGCCTCGGCGCTGAGGCAGGCCGATCGTCGCGATGAGGCCGAGGTCTGGTATCGACACGCGGCCAGTCTAAGGCCGCACGAGGCCCGCAGTCATACGAATCTCGGGGCAATCCTACACTTGAACGGCAAGTACAAGCAAGCCGCCGCGGCTTACAAGGAGGCTCTCAGGTTGCAGCCGGGCGACGCGACGACCATAACGAATCTGCACAAACTAGCGGCGATCTTGGCGTGACCTGAAGAAGCCGAAGGTGATGGCGATGAAAGAGAGCAAGGACGGAGAGATGATAAGACAGACGACAGTGTGTACTATACGATCCCGCGCGACGAAGAGGATCCCATCTTACCGATCTTATCGTGTATCCCGAGACCCCCTACCGGCCCGATCTTCCTACTGATATTTGTTTATATCTCTGCGTCGTCGGTGACGCGCGCGTTTGTCGTTTGCATCGACGATGCGCGGCCGACTCGTATCGCCTGCTATGGTATGTAAAGAATAAAGCTTCCTTTATTTTTCTCTATACGACTGAATACTTTATTATACATATATCATGTGAATCCTCTTCCCTTCTATTATAGATTAAGTAAAGTATGAATATATACTGCCGGTTTGAGATCGCTTAAAATTTAAAAATATTTCACTGAAAACACACTACTTGAAAATTTCATTCACACTTGATTCAATTTTTTTTTCTTAATATGAAAATAAATAAATAGACAATATATTTAATAAAATTATAATTAACATAGTATTGTTTAATTTACAGAAAACAAACTATAGTTGAAGCCTTTCTTTTCAAAACTGAGAGAATTGTGGATTATTTTAGAAGACAAGTGAAAGAGTCTTCCATCAGATGAAATAAATAAACATGTAACTAAACCACCTATAAGATTAATAAAAAGAATTGATTCAATAAGGCCGGCTACTTTGACTAAAATAGTAATCTAATATTTTTTAATGTGCTTTTCTTGTAAAAAATATTTTTGTGGGATTTGAAACTTTTTATATTAGTTTTTATTATATTGTAAAAAAATTAATAAAATAATAAAAATATGTTAAATTAATAATCCATAAATTTAATTTTTTATATGGTAAATATCTTCAATTGGTAAGTGACCTTATATAATTTTTAGCCGGCAGTGTACTAGTACGATTATATATTGTCAAACTTTGTCTTTATACAGTTTTCGACACAGAGAGAGAGAGAGAGAGAGAGAGAGAGAGAGAGAGAGAAGAAATATTTTCTTTAAATATATACGCGCGGATGTCCATAAGCGGTACATAGAATATCGATTCCCTTGTCCTTTAATCGCAAAAGTAGATTATGATTAGTGGGTTAAAAAAGAAAACCAAGGTGCCCACTGACTCTCGTCAATAGATTTCTTCAAATTTGTCTTTACGCAAGACATCTTCTTTCTCCTGTATACACAGAGCAGGTAAGTTCGCCGTAAATTCGATAAGAGCAGATCGATAATTATTTTGAGCCGAGATACTTAATTCCGCCCTGCCTTTCTATCACTTTCCTATCTATAAATCAAATCGTTCCAAAATGAAAAAAGAAGATGAAAAAGTCAGATCGAAACGTTTTGCACGTCGTTCGTGCGAGGAGATTACTTGAGATTTCTTTGATGAAGCTCTCTGAATGAGATATAACCGCAAGAATTTTTCCGTGAAAAAAACTACTTCGCTCCAAACATTATTTTCTTCATATTAACGCCAAACGTTCTGTACATTGTTGGGAATGTTTATTTGTTGTAATTTATTTAAAATCTCAGTTTTCGTTTACAAAGATTTCCCCTTTGCGTCTTTATTATATTCCCTTTTGTTAAATATACGAAGTATATCAGGTTTATGGAGTAGTTAGATTCGCCATTAGGATTTCCTGCAGTAGATACTCGGATATCCTGTCTTTCTCTTTCCCAGCGAGGTGCTGAAGCTCCATTAATATCGAATCTATTTGCACGAAGATACCAACTGGAATATTTAAGTTTACACTTTAAATCACATCCCCGAGCGAGTGCCAACGGTGCGAGCGAGCCTGGAAGCGGAATCGTGAGAGGATGATGGATGGAGAAACGGCAACGAAAAAGAGAGAGAGAGAGAAAGAGGGTGGGAAAGAGAGAGAAAAGGTGAGAAGGGGTGAAAAAGCGGGCACACGGAGCCACCTGTCGCTCCTGTCGCACTGCTGGAGACAGCCTCGGCAAACACTTGGCGAACGTTGCGACGGCCGCGGCGGCGGCGGCGGCGGCGGTTACGAAGCTTTGGTCCGCGAAGAACTCGCGCTTCGTTATCTTTAAAGCGGAACCATCAAGAACGTCTTTCCTTCTTGAGAAGACGACTCGCCCTGCTCAGCGGGCGATGCGCCGCTTCGGCCATTTTATTTTTCGCCAACTTATCCATCTTTGCGGTTGTCTCTTCCCAGCGTTACTTCTCCCCTTCGTACCTTTATATTCTCTCCTACCTTTATTTGCTCTCATAAGAACTTTCTCTGTTCTCTCGCTTATTGTTTCAGATGCGCTTTGTGAGACAACAGATTAACTTCTTCTGAACTGTAGAGGAATGAATTTCAAAACATTCTTTTACAAAGTATTCACGTTACACTATCGCAAATATCATAATTATCTCTTGTTTTAAAATTACCGTATTTGTTCGATATATTGCTAAAGATTTTTTCTAACGTGTTTAGTTCTTTATATTATGAGGAGAAAAAAAGTGCAGCGAGTAAAATAAACGCGGCAATTTTATTAATGATTTGTCGATTTATTATCTATATTTTGCTATATAATGCTAATTGAAAGTGTATTTATATGAGGCAGCACTCCATTCCTCAGAAAGTCCAAGTGTCTCATTTTCGTCTTACCTTTTTCCTTCACTTTAGTTTTCACGCCGCTTTTTTCCCCTGCATTATTTTATCTCAACTTTCTACCTTAGGGCTCTTCTTTCAGTCTCGGAGGAGATCCTTTATATCTTGTACATATATAGTTCCTTATCTGTCCCCTTTTTAATATTTTAACAATATTGCCATCTCATATTTCACATCAACGTTAACGATCATAGCGTTATTTTTATTTTTTACCTTTTTATAAAGAGCCTCGTCAATTTTTATTATTTTTTATCATGCTGCCACTCCTCTACCACTGCACATATATTTGTACTTGACTTTGGTTACTGGCAAATTTTACAGCAGCAATTTGCCTTACTATTTGCATGTACAATTTGTCATTCACAGTTTTTTTTTTGTTAGTTTAAATCTCCATAATGTTGTACATTTTGCAATAAAGAATTATTATTGTTATTATTTTGCACCGTATTTTTCTAATTACTATTAATTTACGTGAATGTAATATTTCCCTTTATTATTTCTGTATTCAGTTCTTTCATATTTATTTTTAATTCGTTTTAAATACTTATAACTTGAAGATAATTCACACACACACACACAATTGGTCAGAATCTACGCACGTACGCAGCTTCAATACAGTTTCGTCTCAACAACTGCAATAACAATGTGTTTACGAATAAAATCTGATAACCGTCGTGTTATGCGGGATTTCCGAGACGGCGGGCTTTTGTTCTTTTATCTATCCCTTTTTCCGACTTACTAGTTGTCTTGCTTTTAGTATACTTCTATTCGTCGGCCATGTTTATCTTGTACTTCTCTCTTATCCGCTACGAGCGAACGCCATCGATTTTTCACCGCAATAAAAGTGGCCCTTCGCCCAGCAATCCGACTACCACCCACGTCATTTTATAAGTTTACAAGTATTATCATCATCTCCTTAGTTTGCTGTTCCTGTTCACTCCGCATTTTTCTCGCATTCCATGCGATTTGTCTGAATCCGTTTACGTGATTTTCCATTCCTTAGCCACTCTCTTTCATGCAATCCTCTCGTGTGCATGAATGCACGTTTGCGCGATCCTTTGTTACAGATAACGACATTCGAATGCCGGCTTTATCGATGTACCTTGTAACATTATTGAGATCCTTGCATTTCCTCGCGTTTATTCTCCTTCTCACTACTGTTTTCCCACGATATTTCTGAAGCTTGTTACCCATTGAAATTATCAAGATGCTGAACCAGTAATTATTTCCAAAAGACCTTGGATATTCTACTCTTTAAAAACTAAAAAGCGTAAAAAACGATAAATATTTTTCTTCCTGTTCTTCCCTTTTTTCTTTTTAAATTTATCTTTTCTTTCTTATGCGGCACGCACACGTGTGACCAATCTTCATTACCGTTATTGTCCGATTATACCTTCAGTGTCTTATATTATTTCCGGTTAGGTTATAACATAATCTTCTTAGATTGTAATATAAATTTTTCTCCTTCCCTCTTTCTCTCCCCTTTCACTACTTTTTATATATTCCACTAGTAACTATTTTCATTAACTTTGCGCGCATCTTTTGCTAATTCGTTCGCAAGCGCGAACATTTAACGATCAATGTCGGATCACCCTCGTTACTTTTCCATTTTTATCTCTCTCGCCATCATCTCATTCTCTTTTTGTATTTACCTATGTCCCTCTTGGGTAGAGTGGCCAACCCGAATTTTGCGGAACATGACGAATTTTGGCTCTTTTAGGCGTTCCAAAAGAACCCATATGGTAATATTTTTTGTAATCCAGCGAGAAATGGCAATGGAATCGATGTCGAAGATGCGAGATCGGAACGCTGAAGATCGAATCCTGCAATTTTTCCTTTTTTTTCAGTTTTTTTCTGAAATAAGTAATCAAGTTAGTAATAAACGTATATTAGGTCAAATATATTTTATATAATTTTTTTAATAATTCGTATATGGGAGTTTTAAAGCAACAACTGTAGAAAAGAAACTCATTTCGCTTTTCAATTAACAAATAAAAAATTATTTAAAAATTTCACAAAATATAAACACTTTTATTTATACATAATTAAATTACATTGGCACATCGTTTTCATTATTTATATTAATAATTTCGCTTTCGAAATTTTGTTCATTGTCAAAATTTTGAATTCGGATAATATGTATAATGATAAATAATTATCTATATTGTAATAAAAAATAATCTCTCTCTCTCTCCTGGACAAGCCGACAAAGCAAATGGAAATCACGGTGTCAACTGATCCCTGACGGAATACAGCTATGTTAGTTACAGCGCTATCAACCTCGTAACTAAAAAGAATATTTTCGATACAGCTATCGGAACACAACCCATACAGCACTGAATTTGCAGCAATATTGTTACAACATGCAATGTTGCAGCTGTGTTGCTGCAACTTTGGTGCTGTAGGGGAATCAAGATTAAACGCAGCGTAACGTATTTCCGGTTGTAATAGGACTGGACAGACTTCTATAAATAGACTGTCGACTTCTCTTCCATTTGAAAACAACGCTGCAGCAGAATTGTGTAACTCGTTATGCAATCGTAATGACAGTTGCGCAGATATTTTATATAGTAAGAAAGTTGCTGCGCAACTATCGAGAATACAGGGGCTGAGCAGCGCCA